TTCAAAGTTCACAACATAAAGAATTAACAAATCAAAATTTCAGTCATTTTATATGGACTGACAAGCACAGAAAAGAAATTTTAAATGCTATAAATTATTGTAAGTAATCCAATATATCAAAAATGTCATCAGGCTTTAGAGAATCCTAAATAGTTAAAGACAATAAAGATAAAACTTTTTAATGCTTATTTCTAGTGTTCACTTAGATTTAGTTTCTTTGCAAATAAGCCATTATTTTTATGTCTAAGAATTTTATGGGCCATTGTATGTTAATTATGTTGTGCATCAAACATAATTATATATATATATGTATATTAGATTTTAAACTGAAATTCTTTATGTAAGTTAATCTTTTTAAAAATTAATTTTATTGGTACATTTTAGGTATATAATATAATGACATTCATCATTGGAGATTTGTACCTTTATGTAATCTATCTTGGTTCTTATTTTTTCCCCATTCCCCTGCCCTCTCTTCAACCCCTCCACCCCTCTCTATCTACAAAGACTTTGTTTCCATTTTTTGCTTTTCTCATATTAATTCTATTCTCTTCTTTCCTTTCCCCTACCCCTCCCACTGCCCCTTCCCCTTTGTCCCTTTTCTTCCTATTTCACATTATCTATTATACCTTTTAGTCCTTATTTACACTTTCAGTTTCTCACACTAGAGAAACTATTTGGTATTTATGTGTGTCCTCTTTATTTCAGTTAAGAGCATTGCCTCAATGTGCATCCATTTAGCTATAAATGTCTCTAATTTCTCATTTTTTATGGCTGAATAGTACTCCATTTTATTTTTTAAAAACTCACATGTTCTTTATCCAATCAGTCTCCAGTTGATGGGCAATTGGGCTGTTTCCAAGTTTTGGCTATTACAAATTGTGTTGCTATGAACATGGGTGTGCATATATCACTGTGGTATGATTCTTTGAATTCTTGTGGGAAGATGCCCAGCATGTAAGTTAATATTTGAATTCCATGTATGATCAACAATCTAGGTTTGACTCTTCTAATTAACTCCAATATTAACTAAGAATCACTATAAACAAATTGGCTTTAAATGGATTCAGCCACAGTACAAAGATAATAATGTATTGTACATCATTCCTGTGATTACGCCCCACCCCAAGGAATTTAAAAGTTAACTGAACACAATATCATTCCTGCTTTGTTGTTGGCACAAAACTAAAAACTTGCTTTCTAACTCAAAAAGATGTCAAAGAAAGCTGTTTTATCTAAAATTTCCTACTACTTAACAGGCATCACTTGCTCATGTTAAGCCTTTTCTCTCTCTGACAGAATTAATTAGTATCCCCTTCTTTTGCTAATTCTGCTCCTCCTGTTATTATTTATTTGTATTACTTGAGAAGTAGTATTCTCATTGTCAAACCAGTGAGCCAAGAAAGTCTAGAAAAGTCTGGTTTCATTTTTTAAAAATTCAAACAAATATGTTATTATTCCTTTTAATCGCTCACTTAGAAATTGAACATAGACAAAGCACACAACTTTGTCATGAGTTTTTCACCTGGATTGGATAAAATGTCAGATTCTTACCAAAAATCTATACTTTCTTTCATGAGATTTTTTTCTTTAGAAATATGTATTTTTTGGGCTGGGGATTTAGCTCAGCGGTTTGGTGGCCTGCCTTGCAAGTGCAAGGACCCAAGTTCAATAGCCGGTACCAAAAAAAAGAAATACATATTTTTTGACAATAGGAGATGGATGAGATAAGGTCCCAAACAAAGGCAGTTACTGTTCCTGAAGTTCCATTGTATAATACATACTAATTCAGATTGTGAATATTGGGCACAAATAACTCATTTCTTACTTATTAGTTCACCCTAACAGAAAAATGTATGAACACAAGAAAGACATGAGGCTGTGCCCTAAGTTTATAATTCCTTTATTTTCAGAAGCTTAATCACACCAATATTGTGAATTTGATCTTTGGTACCATGGAGGATTTTCCCAGGGTAAGCCATCAGAGAAAGATTTGGAGTGCAATCCATGCCCCCTCCTTTTTAAGGTAGAGAAAAATCTGTGCAAAAAGAAGTAAGAAAGAAGAACCAGCATGACACCTTAATTACAGGTAAGTAACTTTGAAGAAGAAATAGTACATGAAGGGTAAAATTCTAGAAATTGAAAGCCTTAAAAAACCCACGTCCTGTATCACTTGGAAATCTCTATGCACCTTCAGAATGTGTGTTCTCAGTTTGAAGACTCACTTAGAGAATGTATTTCAGAAGTGTATGGGAGATGGGGTTGTAGCTCGGTGGTAGAGCACATGCTTAACAGAAGCAAGGCCCTGGTTCAACCTCTAGCATCAAAACCAAACCAAAGCAAAACCAACCAACCAAAAAACAAACAAACAAACAAACAAAAACCATAGAAACTACACGATTAATCAAGGATGCATTTTGATTTTACTTGATTTCACTTTCTCTGTCAGCCACAGGTAGGATACTGGTTATTAAATTCCCAGGCCTTAGGAGGTGGCAACCTAGATTACATAGAAGAGCATGGACTCTTGAATGGCTGGAGAAAGCAGTCTTCTTACTAGCTCAGGTAGGGGTGGATGAGAAATAAACCTTTGCTGTGTTCTGATTCCAAGATTTGGGGATTGTTTAGTACAGCATTTAGCCTCCCCTGACTAAGGAAGTAGTTAATCTTACTGGGTAGTGTCTCACCACTGCAGCAGTGAAGTGGTCTTGTAGTCAAGAATTGCAGGGTCCAGGGAGGGCTGCAAATGACAGTCAGTTTTCAGGAGACAGCCAGGATAGGGCCAAATCACAGAGGACAGATATAAGCTACACCAAACTGCATAGCAGTTGCCTGCAGAGCTCCAGGAGTGGGCCAGAAAGCTGCTGTCAGCGGACACCATACAACATACACCTACAGTCAATCTCCTCCCAATATTAGACAGGTCACAATTTCTCACATATGCAACTGTCATTTTGAGGAAGAAAAGAAAGTCCAGGCCTGAATGTCTATCTGACCAGATTATCTAATCCACCCTTGATAGGGAGTGGAATCTGCAAATAGAAGAAAAATTTGACCTGGAAAAGGCTGTTGAAATCAGGAGAACTCAATATATCGATTGGAAAATCCAAGATTTTATATCACCTGAGTCTATAAAGATGCTAAGGTTAATCATGGGAAGTAATTGATTTTTAAAGGAAGGAGGCATATTAATTATGTGTGAGCTTGTGATCCTGCTTTTTTCCCTCTTCATGTTGCAATTATGAAATATAGTTCAGATTTAAAATAGATGTGGAAAAATTATAGAAAATGCACATATATGAATAAAGCAGCATATTTTAGTACTTTGTATTTATGAAATTTCAGCAGTGGAAAGGAGTGCATGGTCTGTTTATGGGGGACAGGTTTTCTGGAGATATGGTTCAATACTAAATACTATGAAAATACAGAACATTGACAAGCAATACTGTTTCTTTTTGCAAAAGCACTTTCTCAATGACATATTTTGTCAGGCTGGTGTGAGTGTGGGGGCTTCGACCAGAAGGCTAATTGACTACAGTTTTCAGTGTGTCCCTGAAAGAAACAGAATTTTAATTTCACTTGACAGATTGCTAAATTGAGCTTTATACCATCTGTTTACTTCAAGCCAATTATTCATTTAAGTCTTACGTGTACAACCACCACACAATATAATAACGATCTTTTTAGAAATGATCGTTTTTTCAAGTCCTAAGACTTAAAAAACATTATAAAAGTTGATTGTCCTAGTGTGTAACCTGTGCAGAAGTAGTAAAGAGCTGCTATATGGGCTCCTTTCTCAGAAAATGCTCTTCAAATCATCTTTCCAAGGATGTTGGTTTGCCACTTAGAAATTCATTCATATTTTCTCCCAGAGCTCCCCCTTGTGACTAGCAGCCACCAGCATTTAGGCAGTTGGTTATAGTAATTAAAATGCACACTAACAGGAAGGCTCTGAAATTTCCCCTTTCCCTCTGTTACAAGATCTTACTTAATTTTCATAATCACCTGCTATTTTCTGCCCTTAGACTTCTTTAGTGGGTTACTGTCCATTTTCCCTCAGTAGAATATAAATACTATAAACACTGAGATGTCCTGACTCGCTTACCCTACTACCTCCACTATCTAGAATAGCATGCTGCTTTTAATAGGAACTCGATAAAAACCTATGTAATGAGAAAACTTAAATATTGATTATGGAACTATTTTTGTTTCTTAGAGATTGATGAAGATTTTGATTTTATTATTTACAACAGTATGAAGCTTTTGCTGATTATTAATTAGCTGTTCTAGCTAGTCCAATGCAAAAGGAGATGCCTCATGGAAGTCATAGAATATTTCAAAGGACACCTAATCAATTCATTTATATAATAAAGGTATCTCGACTACTGTTGGAGAGTAATTTGTTTAGTACCTCTCAACATGTCCTCTAGTCTTGTTCTAGTGGGTCTATAATTCAGGTCTTCATTCTTTTTCCTTTTAAATTTCAGTTATATTTTATATATTCCAGTTAAGAATGTATATATCCTTAGTTCTTAAAGCCCATGAGTTTTAATAGTACTCAACTATCAATATATTCATTTAGACTTATTTGTAGGATATTTTAAAGTGTCAAATAGCAATCATTTAGCAATTAAAGGGTTTTTAGCTATTTTTAATCTATTGGCTGTTTATGGGAGTGTGCTGTTCAACATCTATACGATGCAATGAAATGTAACTAAGTTGGGCTTGGTGATAAATACCTACGATCTCTGCACTCAAGAGGCTGAGGCAAGAGGATTGCCGCAAATTTGAAGCCAGTCTGGCCTACACGGTGAGACCTTGTCTTACCAATCAAAAATAATTTTTTTCTTCTCCTTTAGCTTGAGAAGTCAGACCTAATAAAAATTAATATCACCCTTCATTAGTTGAGAGCCCAGAATCCAAGAGTTCTTCTTTTTGTGGTACTGGGAACTGAACCTAGGAGAGCTCTAGCACTGAGCCCCACCCCATACTTGCTTTAATATTTTATTTTGAAACAGAGTCTTGCTAAATTGCTTAGGATGGCCTCAAACGTGCAGTCCTCCCACTTCAGCAGGATCTCTGGATTACAGGTTTGTGTCTCCATCCAGCTCAAAACCTGTGAGTTTTAAACTTAGAAATTAGCATTTTCCAAACCTTTCAGTGGAAATGATTAAATTAAAATAAACAAAACCTCTCAGAAGCCTACTCCTCTCATATACAAAATAGCATTTTAAAATTTGTTTTGCTGCTTCGTTCTCTCTTTTAATTGAATGGGTGTAAATGTCAGAATAGGTACCAGATTAGTCTTACAATTCCCCCCAAATTTTAGTGGGAACTTATTAATACAAAAACTGTTATTCACATTGGTTTGTGAGTTTTCATCAGGGAGTTTCCTTTAATATTTCCCAACTTTCTGAAAAATAATCATTGCATAATTTCCCCTTTTCAAGAATGGATCAGTTTAGGGAAATGAATAAATCAAAATCCATGTGTTCTGGTTATAAGAAAGACGTTAGGAATAATTAAAACTGTGAAACTATTCACAATCTAAGGGCATCGGGTAAAAGGGAAATACAGACAGGATTCCTTTGGTCTTCTTTACTCATCTTCATGGCTGACTTTACTCTTCTTCTCCGACTTTGCTGTCATTGGTCATTCTTCTCAAGATCAGAGATGAGAATATTTTCCTCTAAATGTACGGTACTAAAGTTGGTTGTAGGGTAGTAAAGATTCCCAAACCCTGCAAGTCTCTGGAGGAAGTGACTGTTCCACTTGTATATGTAGAAGGAAAGTGTGCAAATGACCAGGATTACTATTAACGTCAGTGCAATGGCGAGAGGAGCAATGCTGCGGCTGGGCTCTGAAAGAAGATGAAGAAGCAGAAAACCTCAGTAACAAGGAAGTAACGGAGACACTGTCACCTTGCTGCTTTCTATTTTATTATTTCTAAGAAAAATCAAAATATCCTAGCCTACCTTTTCCTGGAAGCTCCTTTTCAGTGTGAATATCTAAAATCAATAAAAAATTATAATTAAGGTTTTTTAAATTTAGCAAAATCATGTCACTATTATAGCAGGGTTCGGTAAACTATGGCCCATGAGTCAATTTGGCCACTTGTTTCTATAATAACGCTTTATTGGAACTTAGCCATATTCATTCATTTATGTATTATCTATGACTGTTTTCATGAAGCAATGCCAGAAGGACAGAGACTGTATGGTCCCTAAAGCTAAAGTATTTATTCTGTGGCCTTCTGAAAGAAAAGTCAGTGCCCCTGGATTTAGAGTGTCATTGTTATCAGTACTTACAAATATACACTGCTTCTTTTAAGCCAAAGAATTTCCATCAAGTCTTAGCACTGTGATACAATAGAAATGCAAGTAACAAAAAGTTTTGTTGGGATGTAACGTGGAGTTTGTCCAGAGAGGATAACTTGCCTGCCTCTGTGTAAGGATTTTATAACCAGCATCTTCTCACCTCTGCCACCTCAAGAGTCTTGGGAAGTGAATAACTCCTCCACTTAAAAATGCGCTGTTGTTTTAGGGCTTTCTATTGTAAAAATATATCTCGTTCAAGTAGACTATCTCAAAATTTGAACTCCACAACTTTTGAACTGGGTAAAGCCCTGAGACAGAGGTAGACAATGATCTGGAGGGAGCTCAGGGAGTACATCTGTGAGAGGCAGAAGCACCTTGCAGCTCTACTTCCACTCAGTTCAACAGATGTATAAGAAACGTCACTGTCATTATCCATAGTAAACCACATTGTAAAAGACATTGTTTGTTATAACTTAAAAATAATCTGATGTAATTTTGCACTAAGTCAGTAAAGGCATTATTGTGTGCGAAGGTGCTTCTTCATCAAAGACTGTTGAATGATATCTATTTTTTGGGTAAGGGTAATGGGAGGCATGAAGGAGCACTTAGGCGATTTGGTGTGCAGTCCTTGATACAGCCTCAGTTTGGGCAAACACTTTTCTCATCTGTAAAGTGGGGATGTTTTAACTGCTCCACTACCTTGGGATATTGCTGTGAGGGATAAAAGGGTGCCATGTATGATAAAAAGCTTCAAAGTCCCGTATGTACAAGAAGACATCAGGTGTTTCTGATTTGTTCTTGACACTTACAGGATGGTGATAACTTGGGCACACTATTTGCTAGTCATGCTTCTTGCACAGAATTAATACTCATACTACTAGAATTTCAAACATTGGTGACCACATCCACAAATTATTTTCTCTTCATTCCCACTGTCTAACAGGTCTCCAAGACCTGATGATTCTCTCCTCCTTTTTGATCCCTCCTTTTTAGTTCTACCATTGAGATTACAAACACTGATCTTGGCTCTGGATGAGTGCAATTTTGTTGCAGGTATCCACAGAGCATTTTGCAGGTGTCCACAGCAGGAGCAGGTTCCTGTCTCCTCCACCAGGAAGTGCTGACTATTAGCCTGGCACTCTCTGTGGATGGATCCTGCCTCACTGATCAACTGTATTCTCCTCACTCCCAAGGAGTCTTCTACTGCAGTCTAAATTCATTTTCCATTGCTGCCTTTGGCTATTCCTCCTCTGTTTCAGCTTCTAAAATTCCCTTCGTCCTTTGAGATCCCAGAGCCTCATCTCTAAAGACATCTCCAGAAGCTCAGGGAACACCAATCCCTCCTTCTTGATATAATGGCATCTACCAAACATTCTGATTACTGTAAACATTTTCCCACTGTCAATGGTCCTTCTTGACGTCCTATCCTAGAAATCTCCGCTACTGACTACAATCTTTTGGCTTACATTTCTAAAATAATTTTTATCACTATACACTAAGTGCATTGTTCTGGATGAAATATAACTTTTATGATACATTATGTTGGCAACAGAGAATCACATCTACTTGTTCACAAAAATACCAAATATACAGGCTATTTATTGAGGCTAAAGATGGAACATTAATATTCTGAGTGCAACATTTGAATAAAAGTTTCCGGTTTATACTCTAGTTCTCTTCACATGAGGTACACTGCCTTTTCCCTGTTCATTTTACGGCCAGGATGACACAGGAAAGCCATAAAGTCTGCATTTATAAAGATTTGTTCCTTCGTATCAGTAAAAAAAGGAGCTGAATATTCCTCACTTGTTTGCTATAGAAAAAGATGATAATGCCAGAACCTATCAAATAGTCTCTGAATACGTGGATTTAACATAAGCTAAATGCTAAAGTGGTGGGTTAATAGTACTCAGGGTAGAATCAAAACGAAGAATTACCAAAGGTACAAGATCCAATGATGAATGCAACTTTACTGTATACCTAAAAAGTACCAATAAGCTTAATGAAAAAAATGAAGAATTACCCTCTGATGTTACCAACCTGCTTCCATTTTACATATAAACCCCTTCTTGTCTTGACATGAGCATAACTGCCACACCCCTTCAGGGATCCTCAGGGCAAAACACTGACGGGACTTGAGGGGGTCCATGTCTGGTTCCTGAATGCCCCAGTTTGACTGGTCTGTGGGTGTTCCATCAAACCACTTTATGGTTTCATCTGTGGAAAAATTACTGACTTACTTTGAATTATGTGCACGGTTATGGGGCATTTTAATTCTGGAATGAGGAACCATAAAAAGCACCTCCAAAATTTCACGAGACTCTCTTGGAAGCATTTGCTTGCCTCCATAAGCACAGTCATGAATCCAACATTGAAAGGTAGGCATTAACAAAGTTGCCTTGTGAGCAGTCCTCTATTTTAGATATATTCTCATTTAGTTCATCATGTTTTTTAATGTAACAGCTTGAACTTTTAAATGTTCCATGTAATTTTTAACCAATTTAAAGAAATCTTTTAGTAAATGAAGCTAGTCAATGTGAAGAAAGAATCCTTTGAAGTCCTAACGTCTATGTCATTACAAAATGATTCACTTTCCAAAGGAATTTTACTATGTGCTTTAAATAGCAAGCCAATAATATACCAGGGGAGTAGGGGCAATGGCAGAGTTCATCCTGGGCCTAGGCAATAAAGTATGCATGGGGTGCACTGTCTGAAAAGAATTTAAAGCTAACAATAAAGTTAACTAAAAGTCAGCCTGCTTTCTATTATCACCATCTGCTAGAAATTCTAAATAATGTCAGTGATTAAAATACTCCTTGCAAAGGTAGCCTCACCCCTGCCCTGGTATACCACTGTAACAAGTTCTCCACGACAATTAAAATAATTTTCCTTACAAGTAGTACCTTCCAATAACCATCAATTACATAAAGAAAAGAATGCCATGTTTCCACTTTATTACAAACTCTGGTTTTTATGAGTAGCAAATAAGAATTCTAATAGCATCATTTACACTGAAACATTTCCATAACTCTATTGTGTTTTTCTGACACTTAGGAATCTGGGATATTTTCAAGTCAATATGGTTTCGGTGGGAGTCTGTGAACCCAGAGTTCCACCAGCATCATCACAGTAAGTATAAAGCTAAACCTGTTGCTTGTTTGTTTTGATGTCTGTTATTCTGAGGTTATTTCAGAGGATAAAAAGGACATAAAGAGGATAACAATGTTGTTTTTGGAAAAATGGCTTTAAGATTCAGGTTATTCCCCCCCACCAGAAAATGTGTACAAGGAGAATTTTCTGGCTCACAGATGCCACATATTTATTTATGCCCTCTCCTCATCTTCACCCAAATCACTTACTGTTACTATCAATTCGAGCATTCAACCAAACCATCTGGACAGAAGAACCAAAAGCTGAAAGCTCTTCCAGCAGGAATGAATTTTCAGCTTCATCCTTGATTGTTAACAGATTAGATCCTACAAAAGATAAAAACAGCAAATGAACAAGTATTTGTGCTCACACATAATTAAAAAAAAATGTTTCCTATACCATTACTTGTAGAGCAGAGGCTTTTAAAAGTAAAAGTTTACACTATTCAATATGGTGTGTGTGTGTGCACACGTCCTAGACTCTGGGGGTCAACAGGCTAGGTCTGTGGTCTACCAGTAAGATACATGCCCAGCCCAAAATTTCCATCATTAATAAGTGACTTTTGGTTAAAACTTTAAGGTAAACCACATTTCTTAAAATATACAAGCTTGTGCTTAAGAAAATAAAGCAGTATGAATTTTAGAGAAGATTAAAAATTCATAATGCAAGTGCATTCAACAGGAATTTTTTCTTGGGAAAGTGAAGTATGCTGAGAAATAATTTTATGTTTTCAAATTCTGCACTGGACGTTGAGGTGTATATATGAGCTGCTCATCAAACAAACTCAACAGTATGAATTTTAGTAGGGTTTTTTTGGGGGAGGTTACTCTTAATGTCACTAACTAATCAGACAAATGATGAAGCTACATTGCTTACTGAAATGTCAAGAAGGAGCACATGAAAGCATTTTACCATTGCAAAAGAATTACCTTCCTTTTTGCAAAATTCATGAGCAGCCTCAAAACTGGTAGTGTTGAGGACTGTAGAAAAACTGTAGCAATTACTCTTAAATTTTATCCAGGGAATAGATGTTTCTGAGCACAACAATGGGTATTCAAATAGTTTTCTCTCTAAGAAGAAAAACCAGTTAGGATTTCAGGGTGAAGGTGGAGTTCATTTATTGAAATAAATATTTCATTACATTCTATGAAAGACCAAGATAAATACATGTAGTAAGATTTTCATGGTAATATTCTGAAAGGTCAGATTCAATGTAAATGATTACAAGACTTGAGCCAGTTTTTAGCATTTCTGGCAGAGCTAATCCTTGCCTAAACATAGCAGGGCATATTGATACAGAGTTTTGTGGGCTTAGTTTGAGTTCTGATGGGTCTGACTGGGCTATGTTTACAAGGTTGGGACATGTGGAAAATATAGTTCTTGGAAACAGTGGCCATGAAACAATATTGGCAAAAGGGATTTCCAAATGTACAAAATACATTCCATGCAGTGCTGAGTATCACAGACTTTTAAAAATCCTTACTAATAAACCTATGTGAGAAAATAATGTATTGAAATATCATACCATAAAATAAAGGAAAGTTGAGGGAACTTTACATCAGAGAGCAAGCAAGGCAGCCAGACACATCCACCCTGAGACCTACCATCATGGCTCCACTGCTTCCCGGTTATGTGGCTGCTGGCACAGTTACCCTACATGTTGGTTTCTTTACAAAGGGAGCTAACAGTGATACCATTTTTGCAATTTTAGAAGCTTAAACGCATTAGCACCTGAGACTTCCCAAGCTCTCACTGAGTTTATTGTTTTCAAAAAGGAAGAGCACATAGGAAAATGGATACATATTGAGTATATACTCCTAAGTGAATAAATAAGTCACACATGGGTAAATACCGAATAGTTTCTCTGGTGTGAATAAACTGTAATAATACATAAGATCCTAATAAGATTACTGACATTGTGAAATGGGAAGAAAGGGGCTAAAGGTATAGGGAAGGTGGGAAGGGTAGGGGAAAGCTAATAAGGGGAAAATATGGGAAAATGAAAAAATGGAAATGAAGTGTTTGTAAAGGGGGAGGGGAGGAGGGGTGAAGGGAGGACAGAGACAAGGGAAAAAAATGAGAACCAAGACCTGTCATGTAAAGGTACAGGATCCCAATGATGAATGTAACTGTACTGTATACCTAAAATGCACCAATAAACTCAATGAGGAAAAAAAAAAAAAGGAAGAGCAGGCTTCGTAGTGTATTAGGAATACAGTTAATGCATATCATATATTCTTATATGCATAGTTGATCTTGATTCTCAACTAATGAAACCCTCAGTCACAGTCCTCCACGCATGCTCCTGATTGTTTCTAGTTTGATTTTTCTTCTGTCACTTACCGGTAACCTGTGATACAGGCAAACACCAGCTCTGCCTCACACACTCCCAGCCCTGCCATCCCGCTGCCTTTGTCCCAGCTTTTCTCCTAAGAATGCTTCACCGTATTCTAATATGGCTTATTGACATCCCACTCTTTGAAAGCCCATCTGCGCTGTCATATCCTTCAAATAACCTTTCTGTGTTTCCCCAAATGGATGTGATGCATTCTTTCCTTGAGAACTCCCACAACACTTGCGATCTCTCTCATCTCATTTGAAAGCCATGCTTGGTGAAACAGTTATTTGCCTTTACATCACTGACCAGACCAGAGACGTCGTGAGCACAGAGACTTCTTGCTGCTCTGCCCATACCCACTGCTCAACACACCCTTGCACACAATAGGTGCACAGCACATATTTTTGAGTTGTACCTACCACTGGGCACACGACAAATGGCACCCTGCAGAAATGACTCGCAAGCTGTGTTATGCCATCGTCCATTCGTGTCAGCAAAAACACAGTCACCAAAGAAAGATGGCTCCTCATCTTTCCAAAAAGTGAAAGCGGATTTGGTGCCATCTGACCAGTCAAAATTACGACCATTCTGTGGAGGGAAATTGAGTCATCATTTTCTGGGCAAGACTGCTGGGAACATTACCCAGTGCTGTCTAAGCATCCCACAATGATTTCTATTTCCACACTTTTTTTTATAAGACAGCTTATGAATTCAGCTTGACAAAAGGAATATCTTCCATAAATAACATATTTTTTGGTTTTTAGGAATCCTTGGCTTCTTGCCACCACAATATCTTAGTAAGCAATCAGAGGGAAGTAGGATCAAAACCTTGTTTCTTTACACCAAAATAAACTCCAGACTGATCAAAGATTCAAACATAAAATTGAAAACATGAAAGTATAAAAGGAAATTTAGCTAAAATGTTTTATATATTTGGTGCATGGAAACTCTAAATCATACAAAATCCAGAGATCATACAGCAAAATAAATGCATAAATTTAAAAATTCTTTGATACAAAAATACAATAAAAACCATATAATACCATTCTTTCATCAGTCCCACTGGCAAAGATTAACACTTTGATAATACTGTGTGTTAGTAAAAATTGAAAAATCCTAGCTATAATGACAAGTATGGTGGTTCACAATTGTAATTCTAGCATTTGGGAGGCTGAGGCAGGAGCATTGTTATAAGTTTGAGGCCAGTTTGGGCTACATAGTGAGTTCAAGGCCAGCTAAACTGCATAGTGAGAGCTTGTCTCAAAAACAAAAAAACAAAATCCCCAAACTAGATGTTATTATATGGTGTGTAAATTGGTACAAACTCCTGGAGGATGATTTGGCAGTACTTGTTACAAGTTAAGTGTGCTTAGCAATTTCACTTCTGGAAATTTATCCTACATGCACAATACTATTTGTTGTGCAGATACACGTTCAGAGGGGACTGCTTTAATAAATCATAGCACAGTATATCCATATATCCTGCTGTTCCAGAAAATGTCTAAGATTTTTATGTGCTCCAGAGGAAAATTACAGAAGGCACATTAAATAGAAAAGCAAGTTTAAGGAGCACATACGTAGTATGGTCTCATTTGTGTTTAAAACACAGTGTATATATTCCTCTATTACATGTGGATAATGTGGATACACAGATAATCTAGATGGCACAAAGAAACTGCTTAGAATAACATAGGTGAGTAGAACTAGGGGTAGAATAGAATGGAGTTTACTTTTCACTACTTTGTGTAATATTTTTATTTAAAAACATCAGAAAACAAAACAAAAAAATTCTTATCCTCCAAATCCCACTACTAGAGGAAAAAAACAAAACTCAAACCCCACATGTTAAATTTCAAGAGGTACTGAATTAATTAACAATCAAATTTCTAGGCAAGAAGCATGAATCATTTTTCTTGGGGATCCCTGATGTGTAACAAATTACCCCAAAGCAGTGCTTGAGTTAAAGATGTGTTCCAGAGCATACACATAGCAGGATTCAGGATGCTTGGAAATGGTCAGAGAATTTTAGAGGGCCATGAAGTCTAAAAGTTAAGCAAGTCAATGTTTATCCTAAAAAGATGGACACTCTTGTAGTCAGTCATAGGCTGCTCCTAAGGTCAGTTAGCAGTTTTTGTGTAAACCAACTATTTAAACCTTATATTTGCTATTATTACTTATTAGGAAATTATTTTCTGTGTGAATTTCTATGGCTACATCTTGTTACTAAGTTGGTAGATGTGAAAGCCAATTATGCAAAGATGTTCCAAAGGACTTAGGACACCTACATTAGTGGTGAACAGTCCAATCCAGTGGGCTTGGCCTAGCCGGTTGAGGACAACAGTGAGGAAGGACTGATGATACTGGTCCGCAATGCTCACAAGTTCTGCTCCATGCATCAGGCAGGTTTTTATTGCTGCATGCCAAGTCATATTTGCATTAATTATTTTGTAGATTCTGTTTCCATATTCTAAGGTGTTGGGGATAGGATACATATCTGATGCATTTACACGGGGTCCAGAAGTATCTAGAACAAGAACAGCAACCAAATCATTTGTAGCATCTGAGAAGAAACAAAATTTATGGATCCCTCTGATCATGTTCCATATTGATCAGAGAGTGTTTCTTCCAGAATTAACTATGTTGAAATGAGAACATTATTTGAATGTGTATACCATGCCAAAGATGAGAACACTTAGGGAATTTAATAAATGGGTTTCTTTAAAACTATAAACATGGACTGAATCATTTCTAGATTTTCCATTTCTGACCACTCGATGCCAAGCCAACCACTTTTTGGTAGAGCTGCTGCTAATCTCTTTAATCAGGTTTCACTCTAGAAGCTGCACTTTGCCTATCACATGGCTCTGACAGAACCCATATTTTATGAGAGCATTAACAAATATAGTCATAGATTGCAATTTTACAAGTACATGTTCTCAGATAAAACACTTGATTACAACTTCTGACGCTGTATGATTATTATTACCATGGTTAATGTATAAGTTCTAAGAAGAATATAACTCAAGTTAATAAATACTACAAACACACACATTTGCTATAAACAATTGCTATCAGAGTCCACATTTATAAATCAAGAGGCAAGGTTTTTCCAGCACGTGATCAGCGGGGCTCACTTGTTCATGAGCAACTGTGATCAGGTGAAAGACAAGCTTATGTCTGACCTACAGGTGTTTCCTCTTCACTATGTGCACTTGCCTTTTGTTAGGTATTATGTTATGTACTGGGATAGGCTGAGTTTAGAAAAGCTGAAATATGAAAACAAAGTTAAGTTTCTTTACTACTTGATCTAAAGTGACTTGAATTCCTCTCTCTGTGTTGGTTTTATTACATTTGAAATCACTGCAAAGGAGCAAGGTGAAGTGTGGATATGGCCAAAGTGAAAGAAAGAAATGGAAAAAAGGACTTAATCCTTTCTCTGTCCCCAAATAGCTGAAATAATCTTGGGCAAATTAATTTCCCTAAACTCAAATTTCTGTTCTATAAGAAATTAATACAGTCTGCCTTGAGAGGTGTGGTTGGTATTCACTGAGATAAGCCCATAGGATATATACTGTTGTACCTGGGACAGGGGGACACTCATGAAATGGTGCTTCTTGCTCTCTCCTCTTACTCTGGCCACACTCTTCTCCAGTAAAAGTGGCCAAGTGGGAAACTGACTTTTATCTGAGACTGCTATCTCCATAGAGCAGTAGCACATATCGCAAAATCAGAATGAAATTATTCTATTTACCAACTAACGTGATGGATTGTGCTTTTGTCAGTTTTCTCTTTGCTAGAAGTTTGTTTGCCAGTCTATGTACCCAGTCTGTGGTTATTTATACTAAATCAGTATAATAAGAAAGTATTTTAAAATTAGTAAATTAAATTAGAAAAATTAAAGTAATTGAAATTCAGTGGGGTGTGGTTGTGCATGCCTGTAACCCCAGCATTCTGGGCAGAAGGATTGCAAGTTCAAGCCCAGAGCAGCAAACTTAGTGACTTAGTAAGACTCTGTCTCAAAATATAAATAAACAAACAAACAAATAAATAAACAAACAAAAGGGCTGGGGATGTGGCTTTGTGAGAAGATCTTGGGTACCATTAAAAATCTCCAGTCCCACTAAAAAGAAAAATAAATGTAGTTCTTTGTACATGTGATACAAATACTAATTTGACTGTTTTCCTCCCTGAGTTATACTTCTCCTTATGTGATTAATTCCATCAAATGACATTAACACATAAGTGATTTTCGGTACTGTGATTTTGTTGCTCATTGCCCTGAAAAAAAGAAAGATCTTTGAAAAATGAAGTTCTAAACTAGTAAGGATTTGGCTGGGGATTTAGCTCAGTGGTTTTACTGCCTGCCTCATCAAGTGCAAAGACCCAAGTTCAAACCAAACCAAACCAAACCAAAACAAATACCTAGTGGGGATGGATCTTGACTTTGCTTTTTTCTTTTTATTCATATCTTTTTCATCTTTTAGTCAGATAAACACTTGTAGGTCAAACTCAATGTGAGCACACACTTACGTGGCAAACAAAGGAGTAGAACTTAATTATTCATTGGAATTTACAAGAATTTGTTGAGTAAAACTTTTCATTATAATAATTTGTGATCACAAATTATCATCTGTTCAACATATATCAGGAAACATATTGGGCATTATACATGCACACAGTGTTTGAAATAGTTATCTCCTCATTTGATAGATGCTGAAAATTAAGGTTCATAGATAATAAGTGAGTTGACCAAAGTTTATTTACAGGGGTGTGGTGGGAACCTTTGAGGGGTGTTGCTTCAGGGTCAGTGATCTCCAAAACAACATCTATATTGTTAGTCCTCAAAATGCCAGAGAAAGAAAGTGATCAGAGGGTAAGAACAGATCACTTGCACCATAGCAGAAGAGAATCTTCATATTTAATCGATAAACCTTAAGTGTGTTATTTTTTAAAGCCTCTAGTTCTTCATCTATAAAATGGGAAGACTTCTACCTATTTGATTGTCTTGAGGATTTTTATGGCATAATGCTTGTATGCCAAAGGTACAGTGCCAAGTATATCATAAGAGTGCAAGTACATGGTATACTACTGATATTTTCTTTTCCTTCAAGGCTCCTCCCCTCTTCTATTACTCTTGCTATGACAGATTTAGTATCTTCTTTCAGTTTCTAACGACTATGCTTAAGTGATAAGAAGAACCAGAAATGGAGCATTCCTGGAACTGCTTTTCTGAGGATGGGGTGACACTTAAAAAGAAGTGGAATTCATACTCCAAGTAAGCAACCATCTGCTAGGCTTTCCAGAGCTCCACACAGCCCGAGACTCAAATGTGCCCTCCTGGAGTGATGTGGTAAGACACCTGGTACTCAGTGAAAGCAAGATCTGTAGGTTTTATTTTTATGTCTCAAGGTCACTCACAATTCAATCATACTACTTGTTGACCCCATTGGCTATTTGTAACAGTGTTCAAATCTTAAATGTCTCCTAGGCCCACATGTTCAAGGCTCTACTGGGAGGTGGAGGACTTTTTAAGAGTGAGGCCGCCTGAGAGGTTTCTATGTCACTGATGTTGTGCCCTTGAAAGGAACTGCAGGACCTTAGTCTCTTCTTCTTCCTTCCTTTGTATTTACTGGTCACAAGACAAGTGGCTTTGCTTTCGATGTGCTCCTGCCATGATGTACTGCTTTGCCTATTGAACATGGGCAGGGACCTACATAGCTACGAGCCACCATGCATCTTAAACTGATGAGTACATACAGCTTTCCATTTCACACCAAAATCACTGGGGGTTCTGCCCTTTGGTTCCAGAAGCATACTGCATGTCCTATTTAGCCACAGAGACGGTATTTAATGTTCTGAGAAAGCAGTATATGTCAGTCATCTTCTTGATTCTTTTCAAAAATTTTCTTGGTAACATGTAAAAAAAAATTTTTTTTTTTGGTATCAGGGATTGAACTCAGGTCCTTGTGCTTGCAAGGCAGGCGGTGGAACCATTGAGCCAGCCCATCACTTAAACATTTGCTTGAATAGACTTTGCTGTGGCTTAGATATAGCTTGAATGCATTCCCCAAAGGGCTAATTTTTGAAATTTAACCTCCATTATGAGGTAGTAAGTGGGTAGAAACAATCTGAATATGAAGCTCAGAGGGAGGACATTTGGGAGGTGACTAGGACTACACAAAGTCTTTTGGGTGGAGCCTCTGTGACTGATCTGGTGGCTTTGTAGGCGAAGAGAGAGGATACACTTGGTCTCCCTAACTCTCACCATGTGATGTCCTGTACCACCTTGGGAATCTGCCCGCAAGAAATCTATCACCAGATGTAGATCTTGGATGTTGATTTTGGACCAGAATCATGAAGTTCTTTTCTTTATAAGGTAGCCTGTTACCTGCATTATAGTATCAGGAAATGGACTAATACAGACATATAATCCTAGAACAAAGCAGTAAAACAAAGCGGGCCTAAAGTGGATACACACACTTGGCTATTAGTCAAGTGGCCTCAGCAGTCTTTAGAACACAACTAAGGACATAGTCTAAGGGTAGTGGGGATTAAATGACTAAATATATGTAAAGACAAAGAACAAGTACATCAGAGTGTCAGCTGTGGAACTGTTTGCTGTATAGTTATGTAAAGCAAATATGGAAGATAGGAAGGGGCAAGAAAACAAAAGGAATAAAAATCTAATTAATTCTTACCCTGCATTTTTTCACAAACAAATCCATAGGCTTCTTTTCCACAGTCTTCAAAATACCATTTTCCAGTGAAATGAAAATTAGGATTACTTGACAGCAAGACACAGAGAGGAATGTGTTTTTGAACTTCGGTGTTATTATGATTTGGAATCTTTAAAATAACAAATATGTCATAAAAATATGGTAACATACAACATGATTATAGTATTGAAATTTTAATTTAGAATACAATTGTAAAAATCAAACACTACTCTATCTGTACTTAGTAAATTTATTCATAAGCCACTTCATAACCTGCAATAAATTTTTGTGATTAATTAATATATTTATACCTGAAATTATATAATTAAAATTGATAAATTAATAAACTAAAATAAATTTATACATATAGATATTTGAAAGAAAAAAGCTTTACTAAACAGGTGTTGAATATGATCTCTTGTTAAAATAATTTTTAAAACAATCTTAAAACTTACATTCATTATATCAAATGGAGACCAGTTAGAATAAGCCACAGGCTTTCCATTTAGCCATTTTTCATAATCATCATTTCGTAACCCTATCCACACATTAGTGGTCTGGCCAAAAAGATTCATAGTAATGAAAGCTGAAAAATAGGAATACATTATCTAATTTAATGCTAAATAAACCATTTGGGTAATCATCTAATCCTCTTTAGAGCTTTGATAATATTTAAATGATAGCTAAACTTAATTAGGAATCAATTATAGAATTTGTTACTTTGTCCTTATTAAGGTAATGCAGTTTCTTTCACTTTTGTTTTAGTTTAAATTGATAGAAATTAGCTTGATAACCTGAGATCCCATCTTATCATTAACAAAACTATTTTCAGTGCTCATTCAATGTTTTTTAAATTAGAGGATTTATCAACTATAATTAAACTAAAGTACATAATTGCCTAAATATCAAATACAAGTGTGTAGGTTAATATAAAGGGATCTAACAACTATTCCATGCAATTATAGTAGATTATACTTGGAATTATTTTAGTCATTTTGAAATAGAAATCATAAATAAGTCTTTATTCTTTCCTACTACTGGTAAAATCAAAATCTCTAAAACTCGGCAATTTATAAAGCAATGCAGTATACTGACTTTTATGATGTTATGACATAAAACCTTATGAGTCAAACTGAAAAAGTATGTGTCATCAACAATACAGTATTTTAAATGTTGATTTGGAAATGTTATTATTTTTGGAATACTTTAATTACTACTTGAATAAAACAGTTATTTTGCCCCAATTGAACATTGAGTACTCTACCTTGTTCCACTTCACTTTCGATGGCCACTAGAGTCCCACCTTTTGCAGTGCAGAAATCCAGAGCTCCTGTCCAGTTTTTTAGGTTGGTTGGGTCTTTGGGGACCATCACTAATAGGCACTATCAAAAAATATCAAAACAATTTTAATTTCAGTATTTTTTTAAAAAGAATTAAAGATTTCTCAGAGACACTGAAGATCAGACTTGAAAATTCTCATAATTTTCTTGGACAAAAAAACCTCATTTTTCTTCCAGCTGCTACTGAGGCATTAGAGTGACACAAAAAGGAGAGCATTCAGGGTACATCAATGGCTTGTCTAAATTTGCCAGGCAGAGCAGAAATAAGGATATGTTTTGTTGTGCAGGATATTATTCTGCTCAGTGGAAAATAGTTCTGTTCATAAAAGGGAGCCAGCCAGCATGCAAAGTTTGCATGGCAGATTTAATCTCAAAAGAAATCTGGGAGTGACAATGACCAGTTTATTTACAAACATACTTGCTCACCTTATGTGAGAGAGGAATACTGAGAAATCAAGACATGTCATCTACTTAAACTCACTCAATCCTCTTGATCAGCCATTTAGTGAATAAGTCAATTGGGAAAATCCAGGAAAAAATGTAAAAAGCCCAATGAGAGGAGAAGCAGCAAGGGCAAGACAACAAAGGAAAAACAGGAGGATAAACAAAAGGGAAGGTCCCCATCAATATTAAATGGAACACGAAAGGAAAGTTTGTGGGGCTGGGCAATAAGAGTCCATTGTTACTGTGAGGATCATGGTTTAAGGTTTTTTATTATGGGATGAGAAGAGAAATGAAATGGTACATACTAGGCAAGACTGACAGGATGGATGATAAGCTTTCTCCTCATCTGTAAGGCTCAATGAAACTGAAATACTTTGGTGGGATCAGATGGAATCAGGCAAGAGGGAGAAATCAAAGAAGCAGATAAGCAGACAAGGCAGTGTGCCATGGAAGTTAGGAGAGCTTTTAGGCAAAGGAATTTCCATCTGAATTTGCCTCTCGTGCTCAGTTCTCAGTGTGATAAGCATAGCTAACCCCAGTCATTGATAAAACAGAACCCAAGATCTTGTTACTGAAAAGATCTCAGGTACAGAATAATTGTGGGTTAAGGCAGAAACCCACACTTGAGAGAGAGAACACTCTTCCCTATCTTACTTTGGAATAATTATTTTCTTCCCTGAATTCTTTAATTTCTAAATTTGTCAGTTTTCCATCATCAAATACTTTGTAAAAACAGAGAGACTGTCTTACTTTTCTTTGCACATCACATTAGAGAAGGCCCCGAGGACACATTTACATAACAAAATGAGTCTAAAATGGTTGTCAAATGACATTCTCAGGCATTCTAGATTTAGCCCAGTGTTTTTTAAACAGGTGATTTTGCCTCTCAGGTATATTTTGACAATGCTTGGAGACATTTTGGACTGTTACAGCTGGGACTATTTGGCACCAGCAATGCTGCTGAATATTAGACCATACACAGGACAGATTCTTTCCCCATAGTGGAGAATCATTCAGCTCCAAATGGCAACGGGGCTGAGGTAATCTCTTTCAAAACCCAGTTCTGACCATGTAATTCTTTAGTTTAAATTCTTTAGGAGGCTCCTACTACTTTTAGGATTAAAAACCAGAAACCTGGATGTAGCCTGAAGTTGAGTTCCCAACCAAAAGAGGAAATACATTTTCAATAATTCTTGTCCCTTTTGCTTTATTTGCTTCACATAGAAACTGAATTGGTTTTAAAGGAGTTCAATTTTATAACAACTATCCTTTTATCTATTTCTTTTCATTTTGTCCGTTTCTTCTAATTACAAATTCTAAAGAGTGGCACATACTAATTATTAGAAAGTCTTATCATTTAATGTGAATTCACTTTGTGCTCAGATAGTCACACTAATGAACCATTCATAAATACCAATGAACCTCATTGGTTCAGGTAGCCCAATAAATCTCTCCAGAAAACACCTCCTCCATCCATTTATGCACACATTTGCCTCAGTCAGTATTTACCAGCCTGACAGTGGAAGCATGGCCTCCCATAACCACAACTTGGTTGTTTTAAAAAATGTAACATATTTATTTACTAACACATGCCAAAATGGCATCATTAATGATTAAATAAGGCAGCAAGATGAAGTATAGCATCCTTAATTTTAAATGGTCTATTTTCTTACTAATTTGCAAAACTAGATTTGAGTTTAATACATCTCTAATTATTATTGTAGATTAAGGAGGTCCTACTATATTCCAAATGAAGTTTGAACAGAAAATTATCTTCATCTCAAAATAATTTCTAGCTCAGCATTTGAAAATCTCATTCAAGATCTTGCCTCTGAATCTGAATTTTCCCAGTGTTCCTGCTGATATCAAATGGCACAGTTAATATACATTTAGTTAAATCTGAAATCTGAGCAGCGTCTCCTTCTTCCTACTCCATCACCTCGACATCGCCTTTCTCAGAGAACACTTTGCTTTCCCATTCCCACTGCCCATGCTTTCTGTCACCATCACCTTAGATCAAGCTCCTAATCTTTTGCCTGGACTTTTGCAGTAACTGCAACGCTACATTTCTCACCCTTGTCCTTTTCCAGTAGATCCTTGGAACTGCAGCTTGAGTGATACTTTTCAAAATTAATCCTGCTCATGTCCCTCTTTAGTTTAAAATCCTTCAAGAATTTCCCATTGCTCTTAAAATAAAAACCAGAAACATTAACACGATACTACCCTTGTCTACTTCTATCTCTCACCTTCCTCTAATCTAGTTCTCTGTGCTTTCTTTAATTTCATAAATGTCATATTCTCCTTCACCATAGGACCTTAGAACATGTTGCTCTCTTTACTTTAATGAGCCTTATCTTCTGACCACCTCTATCAGGTCTGTCCTCCTGTTCTACACTTTTATAAAATTGTATAACTTTTGGGGCTTTTAACCGAGGATGCTGAGGTTTGAATGTAAGGCCTCATGTCTGGCAGGCACTCTACCACAGTTAAAATTTATAAGTATCTTTCATACACCACAGTTTTAAATTATGCAGTTATTTTCTTGATTGAGGTACTAGAATTTCTTCTCCCAAAGAGAAAGCATTGTGGTTGTTTCTGAATTCCCAATAGTTAACACAGTTAAGTGAATGAATGAATAAAGTGCTAAAATTCCAAGGAAAAAGGAGGAGAGAAACTGTGTGTGTGTGTGTGTGTGTGTGTGTGTGTGTGTTGCTAGGGATTAAACCCAGGGCCTTTGCTACATAACTAGATCTCTGTAACTGTATAACTAGACTTTTAAAATTTTTTATTTTGAAGGAGGGCCTCACTAAGTTGCCCATGCTAGGCTTCAACTTGATTTTCCTGCTTTAGCCTCCTAGAGTGCTGGGATTACAGGCATTCCCCACCACACCCAGTTGAGGAGAGTATTTTTAAGGAAATACTATGTTGTGCATAGAGGTAAGTGTAGGAAAGGGACAAAAACATTGGATTCAGGGTCAGAAAACATGAAGTTGATCTCAGCCTGACACTTATTCTCTCTAGACTCTCAAAAAAATCACCCAGTTTCATTAGTATCAGACTTCTTACAAACAAAATGGGAATAGTAATTCCATGTATTTTAAAAATTCAGTAAAATAAGAAATATACACGAAATAACCCAGCAAAGTTAGCCAAGTGATGGAGGAACCTAAATGTCTATTGATGGGTGAATGGATAAACAAAATATAGTTTATACATATGATGGAATGTTATTTTTGGTTAAAAAAGAAAGAAATCCTGTCATATGTTACAACACAGATGAAACTTGAGGACATTGTGCTAAGTAAACTAAGCTAGTCACAAAATGATAAATACTGCATGATTTACTTGAATTATGTAAAATAGTGAGACATAAAGTAGAATGGTCGTTGCCAGGGACCAGGTGGGGAGGAAGACTAGGGAGTTATTGTTTAGTAGGTATAGAGTTTCAGTTCTCCAAGATGAGAAGGATCTGGAGATTTTTCCCCACAACCTGAATATACTTAATGCTAGTAACTGTGAATATACTTAATGTTATGTGAATGTATTTAAAAATGGTCAAGATGGTAAATTCTCTTTTATGTTTATTTTACGAATTATTTCCACATGTGTAGAGGAGGATCAACAGATATGTATAGGATCCAGGCAGCTTCATTTCACAAGTTAACAACGAGAGACCACAAAGGAGAGACTGCCCTGTCAATGCAATGGAATATTTAGCCTGAAAATAGGCTACCAATGATTGAAGAGCAATTGCACATCAGTATATAAAATTATAACACAGTTTGGGTTTTTGATTCTCTAAGAGTTAAACAATTATGATTTGGAATGCATTTTAATTACTTCCACCTAAGGCCTATAAAATTATTTTATTACAAACATAAGGAGTAGAGGGAAAGTCTAGGCCTTAACTGAAGGCAGTATCAGAAATAATAAATCTGGTTTACAATAGCCCCCTGGCAATTTTCTTTTCTTAAATTCAATCCTGCATGGAAGCATCAGCTTTATGAGGCTTAAGATGACATTGACCAAGCTAAGTTATTAGTTTGTCAATTCAAGGTAGGCAGGGAGTTTTGCTGCTTCTTGGCAGGGAAGACACAAAAGAAACAAATAGAGTTTAGGTCCTCTGAAGTTTTTAGCTCTTTGAGAGCAGTGGCTGCACACTCAGGCACACACACACACACACACACACACAGAGGCACACATGTCACACCGCATAAAGCACACAGCACAATGATGATCGTGCCAATAGATAAAAACTGAGTGTGCAAATGGGCAGTGGTAAGCTTGATTTCCACAAAACTTTTTTGTTCTAAAAAACCTTTTTGTTCTAAGGGGTTTGCTTCTAAATAGAAAACTTCTCAAATCTCTTGATACACAAAACACAGACAAAGATACTTCAGGTCCCGTGGATAACTCATAATTTTTACCCTACCTTTTGATTACTTCCCAACTCGAGTATCTACAAAAAAGAAACAAAGGCAAATTTTTGAAAATGAATTTACCTTATAGTTAAAGTATAGCCATCCTTTGGGGCATGTTCCATGAGAGGCACACATGTCACACCGCATAAAGCACACAGCACAATGATGATCGTGCCAATAGATAAAAACTGAGTGTGCAAATGGGCAGTGGTAAGCTTGATTTCCACAAAACTTTTTTGTTCTAAAAAACCTTTTTGTTCTAAGGGGTTTGCTTCTAAATAGAAAACTTCTCAAATCTCTTGATACACAAAACACAGACAAAGATACTTCAGGTCCCGTGGATAACTCATAATTTTTACCCTACCTTTTGATTACTTCCCAACTCGAGTATCTACAAAAAAGAAACAAAGGCAAATTTTTGAAAATGAATTTACCTTATAGTTAAAGTATAGCCATCCTTTGGGGCATGTTCCATGTTGTTTTGGTGTATTTTTTTCTGCCTCAATGACCCAAATCTTTTTACGCTTACAAATACCAGGCATAAAAACTGAACACTCTTCACTACCCCAGAGTCCTGGAGGAGAAATGGGTTAGACATGACTTAGAAACAATAGTGATGTGGCTATTGTGTACTGATTACTATTTTTATGACTGCTATCGTTTTTCATAACCAAACTTAACTACTAATTATAGAGTTCCCTAGTGACAAGAGCTAACTGGGCAAGATGCCAAGTCAGCGATTCTAATTTAAGAATGAAAGTTTTTGAAATGCTAAATAAATAAAAGTAACTACACAGATGCTTCAATGGAAATCACAGAACCAGTTATATTCTAAGAATACTTTACTAGGGTAACGAAATAATGTTTATAGAGTAACCATTTTTGTGTTACATATTCAGCTTCTGTATACAGAGAAAGAAAATTCTAAAACAATAGATGATCATTTGTACTTTATAATGCTTTAGAAAATATGGGTAGAGCATCCCTAAACTAAAAATACGAAGTAAAAAAATAAAAACGTTTGCACTCTAACATAATGTTTAAAAAGCTTCAGATTTCAAAACATTTCAGATTTCAGATTTTGGGATTACAGTGAAACCTACGCGATTATTCCCAGATCCCAAACAGCTTTATATCTCAAACACTTCTGGTCCCAAGTACTTTGGGTAAGAAATACTCAAACTGTAATAATTTAGAAAAAGTGCCGCAGGAACTTCTAAGAAAGTAGCATTTCTCAATACTGACCTTCAAATAAAATAGACTCACATATAAATATGATCTCAATCAGATATATTCACAAGTCCTTGGCCTCCTGCAAACTGATTTTTCTCTTTTATATAGATGAACTATAGTTTTACAGTAAGCGTTGAGGGTACATTTCTTTGGCATTCAGATCAACAGTTCCAGAACAGGACAGAGTGCATATGCAAACTGCAAGGGCAGGTTTGGTTGTTTTAGTATTAGAAATATGAGCCAAAAAGATGTTGGCTTTGAAGGAGAGGCTGGAATGCTATTTCAAGGCAGATTAGCAGTATTCTCCCAGACTCACAAAACAACCCTTTCTGTAGGCTGTTGTGACACCTGCTGGCAAAAGCGAGAGGATTAACCCTGGGTTTTCTTTTCCTAACTCTGCTGCGGCCCTCCCACCAAGGATTACTTTCTGTGCTTCTCCCTTTCCTGACCTGGGGCACAGATTATTTATGAATCTACTAGAGCTGGGGATAGCATTATTTTTTATTGGCTAGAGAGTGCGGGTGCATATGAGTGAACAATCAATTCAAACAATACTGTACTGATGAAAATAAAAAAATCTTCAGCATACATATGCTTCCAAAATTCAATTTGCAGACAATTGTTCTTCCAAAGCAAGCAGCAATTAATGCCGGGTATTAAAAAGAAGAATACTCAATTGAATGAAGGTTGTCACAGAAGTTCAAGGTCTGGTCAGTTATAAATTGGATATGAGGAAGAGATAAAAAATACGATTCCACATTGAGATTTCAGAGAGAAGAGCATTTATCAGATATATTTGTTGGTAGTTTCTACTGTCTTGGTTTTGGTGCTGTTTTGATTCATGAAAAAGGATTTATCCAGATGCAAATTATTTTTATAAAGATGAATACATAGAATAAACAGAAGGAATGACCATCCCATAAGCCTTAAAACTGATTAAATTGAACACAGTCAAGAGAAAATAAGAACAATCAGACTTTTCACTGAACTGATACAATAAAAGAGAAAGTTCAAGTCTCCTGAAAAATTTGTGTTATAAGTCAAAGCATGATTAAATAAAATAACCTGTTGTGGAAGAAATGAAGCCACATCTCTGGCTTTGATTATTCACAGATATTTCTCTTTCTGTGTCCCAGTTCTCGTATATTAATGGTGACCCATCACTCCAACTGTAGAAAAATTTAAAATGTTAAGGTCTTCCTCATGTTCTGTTTTCAACACCATTCTTGGGTTTCTGGGGCATGGCTTGAAGGATTAATATTTAATTAAATTTAGAAAAAATAATCATGTACAGTAACTGCGGTTAAAAATACTGTGTTGTTGTGCACTTAAACATTTTTCAAGTGGGTAGATTTTTTTTCTCAAAGTGTTTTATCACCAAAATAAGCAAATCAATAGGATGAGAGGAAGCTTTTGGAGGTGATAAATGTGTTTATGACATAGATTGGGATGATTGTTTCATGTGTGTGTACTTTAAAAGTACATTTTTAGTAAGAGAAATGAAAAATATATAAGTTAAAGGTAATGTCTGAATGCTATTCAACAAATTAATCAGTAAGATCTAGTCCAGTCACCCTGTACATAAAACTTGTCAAACAAAATCAAATGCAAATTAATCTAGGTTCATACTGAAATTCGTCGTTGGCTTTTTCTTCTTGATATCCAATCCACCAATTTGTACCATACTTTGATAGCTATTTTAAAAAAGAAAGAAAGAAAGAAAATGTCAGCATTTATTCCCCTTGTTTTCCTTTTTCACTATTAAGATTAATGGAGTTGCTGCTAATGGCTTTCTACTCTTCAGTATTTTACCCAATTATCTAAGGGAAAGCAACTAAGGCCTAGCATCTTGAGAAAGCCTGGAACTTCATTATCCTAAAATATTTCTTCCTCTCTATGAAGGAAAATTAGAATCAAACTTTGAAAAGAATTTTAGTTTCATACAACTTGAAAAGTAAAATTACTAACTCGACAGGAGGGATTTAAAAAGTGATATAAAGTAAACAGAAGATGGATTCTTTTTCTGACTAAAATATAAGTGGTTTATTCTCTTAGTGATTTATGGAAGTCCATTGCAGGTATTGTATCTATTTGAAAAACAATTCAAGTTACAAAAGATTTCGAATTTTAGGTATTAGTTTGATTGCTAAGCTTTAAAGTGTATTACAAATCAAATAGACACACAATATAGGACAAAAGAATGCTGCAGAATTTAAGGATTCAGCAACTAGAAAATTATTCCTTGTATATTTTACACCAATTATTAATCACTAATGTGTATACGCCTGTACATACACATGTTAGAGCAGGTGTAATACTGGACTTATGATCCAGGAAATTGAAATTCCCTGTTTAACTATAAAGGGGGAAGAGGTAGAAGGATTTCTCTGAGATGTCTTAAATCAGTGAATTGTATGGTGTATGTGCTATGTGTGTATTTATGTGTGTGTGAAATGCAGCTTAATTTTTATAGCTAAAAATCTGTTAATTTGAAGACATTATATAATTAAGTTTGCACCCTCATTTCTTTTTTTAAAACTCAGGATTAAATTTTTAAATATATAATTTTCCACATGAATTTCAGTTCATCACACAATGTAACCTAATATTTGCTAAAATTCTAATTTACAAACAGGTATTTCTACTCCTTAAACAGTGTGGCTGTCTGCCATATCAGCAATTGGAGAATAACACAAGATGGAACAACTATAATTTTGCATCCCTAAGGTGTTGTTTCATGGACGTGTTCTTATGTACTGAATTTAGATTTCCATTGTCAGACTTTGGAATGGGTCCACTGAGACTGTGAACTCAGTGGGAGAACCACAACAGTTTCATTCCATCTAAAGAGGTCTCGTGTGCAGCAGTGGAAATCATGGCCTGATTGTTCACTGTCCCAATTAAGGACCTTTACAGAGAAATTATAACTACTGCATCTTAAGTGGTATATTTATTACCACCTCAATTATGGTCTGGTAATCTCCCACACAGCACATCACAACCTGTTTTGCTATGGCACAGAACTTCACAGGACAAGCTAGAAGATAACAGTCTGAAAATCCCAATGTGAAAGATGAATGTTTTAAATGTTAGCTTAGGTATAAGCAAAATGGAAACCTTTTGAATATGTCTGTGAAAAGAAATGTAATGTATTTTAAAACATCAATTATGTCATATATATATTTCCATTATAGGTAGCATCATCTGGGAATAATATTTAGCAAAAAAAAAAAACCCAAGAAGAGTCAATATATTAACCTACTAAGCTACTTAAGGAAAAATAATCTTTCATCTTTTAAAAGGTTTCCATAAGAAATGACAAAACTGAGTTATTTTAAGTGTTTAAAACTAGATTTTTAGGGCTGAGGTTGTAGCTCAGTGGTCCTGAGTTTGATCCCCAGTACTGGGAAAAAAAGAAAAAAAAAAGTGAAACTAGATTTTTGAGGAGGACTAATGGATTTGATATATTCTTTTAGATGTTTTTAGAAATAAAATGTAAAAGATAATGATATAAAAATGATAAACTGTCATTTACATTTTGAAATGCAAAAGTTGCACAGCACAATATAAAAATTTTAGTCAAATAGACTGCCTAAGTCTTCATATCAAACAACTGTTAAATGCTTACAACTTTTTATATTTTTGGCATTAATATGATTAGCAAGAAGGCTAAAAAGAAAAAGAACTACAAAACCGAAAACCCTACCTCAAATTCACTCTAATCATACCCTTTTGTCTGTTCAGAGTAGGAGGGAAAACACTGATTTACTCTTTTTCTAAGATGAAAATACTTTGTTAAATTATTTGCTTCAGATTTTTAAATGTTATTTTTGCTTTTCACAATTTCTATTTGCTACTCTTCATAAGGTAGCTATATAAAACACATATGTAACTTAAAAAGTACTTAATAACTACTTATTCTGATTTTTCCTTCATTTGTAAGATGACTGTGCCATAAAAGTGAGTGGTCTGACAGAGAAGACTCTGTCTGTGGACCAGGAAACAAGTCCTTACCAGACACAGAACCTGCCAGTGCCTGAATCTTGGACACCCGGCCTCCAGACCCACAGACATACATTTTTGGTGTCTGACCCACTCCAGTTTTGGTATTCTGTTCTACTAGTTTCCTTTCCTCTTTCTTAATCTCTATATTTTAAACACTCCAATCATTTTCTTCTGTTGCATAGTAGGGCTATACCTGCAGGCAACAACTCTCTTATAATAGGACATTTTATATATTAATGCAGTCATAGGTAGTGTAACTTTTTTTTATATAAAACGCTTCAAGGTTTGTCTAATTTGAGATCAAAGTCTTCAATTAGATAATAACATTGGCTATGACTTCTAAACTGTTAAATTCATGGGTTTTATTAACTCCTCCATCCCCACTGCCTTCTTACCTCCCAAAGACTAGTAGATGAATTAAAAGGGGAGGTAAGGCCAGGCATGGTGGTGCACACCTATGAATCTTGGTACTCTGGGAGGCTGGGGCAGGATGATTTCAAATTCATATCCAGCCTGGGTAATTTAGCAACTTAGTAAGATTCATATCTTAACTCCTGTTTCAAACAATAAAAAATAAAAAACAGAAATATAGCAAAGGCTTTGGATTCATCCCAGTACTGGGAACAAAACCAAACACCAGGAGAGGAGAAGAGAGGAGACTAGAAAAGTTCACCGGATGGTTAAGCTCTGTTTTGAAGATCAAAGGAGCCCTTCGCTGTTCATGTCTGAGACTGAGCTGACAGCCACCTTCAGGAATTTAGGGGCAAGCACTTTGGTGTGATGTGGGCTCTGTGCGTATGTGCCTCAGACTCTGTTCTTTGGCCGTCACAGGCAGCACATTGGAGAGTTTTCAAATGACCTTGTGAGTCATGTGGAGGGGGTTCTTTTTCAAATTCCACCACTTAGTTGCTGTGTGACCAAGTTGCTGTGCTTTATTTAACTTCTTCCTTGTCTGCAAAATGTACTAAAATAGGCTTTCCACAGAGAGCTCTAAATAAATCCTCTTTATTCACCCATTTTTTGCTAATAAAGATGAAGAGAAGTGAAAAGACTGAGCAGCAGATTAACTGATCTCTCATTATGTTCTCTTAATCTCTGTAATGGCAAGAAGAACAGTTCTCAAAAATCTATGGCTTTTACTGAAACCTGAATGTCTGAAGTCAAACTTAAAAACAGTACAGAGAAGCTGAATTTCTCATGGTCAATTAGTTTAAAGTACCACTCTTATTTTGCTGTGGATGAATTCTTGCTCATGTGCAGAATGAATTGTGAGAAGTTCACCACGCAGCCAGCCACAGACAAACTCAAAGGAAGCCCATTCTGAGTTATGGGTATGAAAAAGGTACTCTGCCTCCTGATAAAAGAGCCAGGGTGCATCTGAAAGAAAACAAAATGATGCCAGTGGTGTCAACACTGAGAAGGGAAAGAGGAGCTGAAGGGAGAGGAGGGGAATAGGAAAAAAAGAAGCAAGTATATCATGTACAGGTACAAATTTCCTGTGATGAACATTATCATTATGCATATCTAAAATGTACCAATAATTTTGTAAAGAAATATAATGCAGGCCTAATAAGGTATGTTATGATTGAACCTGGTCACTTAGCATTAAAAAGGTATACAAGTCTCTCTCTCTCTCTCTCTCTCTCTCTATA